ACGCGCTGGAGGCACTGCCGCCGGGCCAGGGCCTGGGCCCCGCCGAGCCGCCGGGCCTCCCGCAGCTGCAGAGCCTCAACCTCAGCGGCAACCGGCTGCGCGAGCTACCCGCCGACCTGGCGCGCTGCGCGCCGCGCCTGCAGACCCTCAACCTCACGGGCAACCGCCTGGACGCCTTCCCCGCCGAGCTCTTCCGTCCCGGCGCGCTGCCGCTGCTCAGCGAGCTGGCGGCCGCCGACAACTGCCTCCGCGAGCTCAGCCCCGACATCGCGCACCTGGCCTCGCTCAAGGTCAGCGGGGAGCTGCGGGGCGGGGCGGGAGCTGCGCTCGGAGCCGGGCCGCCGCCCGTGCCGGGGCCTCCAGCCTCGCGGGCGTGGCTCCCCTGGCGCCGTGCTCTGCGACCCGTCGCTGGGTAGTTAGCAGGCTCGGCCCCTCTCCGGTCGGGAGCAGGTCAGCAGCAGGGCCCCCTGGCTGAGCGTCGCTAGCTCCGGACACTTGTGATTCCGTGACCGTGGTGGGGAGGCGGCCCCCCGGCGAGGCTCGGATGTGAAGTAACAGGCATTCCCGCAGTGCGGCCCGCTGTGGCTTCGTGTAAGGTATTTCCCTCCGCCCTGACGACTGCCTTCCAGGGGAAGAGGTCGTTATTCCTGTTTAGCAGAGGCCGGGAGGGGTTGCCCGCAGGCAGCAACAAGGACTTGGGGTTTTCCTGGAGACTCCGTTGTCCGGGAGCTGCGCGCTTACTCCTCCGCAGGCCCCAGCGTAGCGCTTGGCGGGACAGGTGCCCCTTAAGCCCGCTGGGCAGGAGCGGGGAGGGTGGAAGTTTCCCGGCCACACCTCAGTCCAGTCTAGAGGCTCCTGTCCAGCACTGTCTCCCCTGTGTCTTCCCCTTTCATCCTTAAAGAGGCCGATGTGTATTTCTTCTTACTCCTACTTTTTTTTTTTTTTTTAAAAGATTTTATTTATTTGACAGAGCACAAGCAGAGGGAGAGAGAGGGAGAAGCAGGTTCCCTACTGAGCAAGGAGCCCGATATGGGACTCGATCCCAGGACCCTGGGATCATGACCTGGGCCGAAGGCAGCCGCTTAACCGACTGAGCCACCCAGGCGTCCCTTACTTCTACCTTTCATCCTTTTAATGCAGACTTTCTTACGCAATAGAATGTCTACGGTTCAACAACTGGTTTATTTCAGCAGAAGTTACTCTTGTACAGATCTGAATGCGTGTGCGTACGCGTGTATGGATGTGTGTGTACGTGTGTGTCACATGCTTGCTGGCATTTGCAGCGCGAGGCTGTGGGGGTGACTCCCGGGGCACTGTGGTCATCCAGGGCTGGAGGCTTCGCTTTGTGGCTGAGGGGACAGAACACGTACAACCCCGTCCGTGTACGCCATCTTCCCATCTGTGGGCTCTCCCGGTTTTCCGGAAGGTCGGTGTACCAGATACGCAGCTGAGTACAGGTCGTGTGAGTGCAAAATCCCTTGTTCCACTTCTCTTCCGATCCAGAATGTCTTCCCGGTGGTTAGGTTTGTTTTGAGTGTTCTGTAGCACGTGTGTGGCACCCACCAGCGATGTCCGTGGCCTTCGTGTGTCCTGACCCCGTCGTTCGGGGGATGTCTCCTCTGCCGCCCTTTCCCCCGCCGTTGCTAGGCTTCCATGGGTCTCTCCCACCTGAGGGGGCCTGTCCCTGTCGTGGAGGGTGTGGTGCCAGAGCTAGCTGGAATCTCTCGGGTTCAGATGTCCTCCGGGGGCCTTTCTAAAATGATGCCCCCGTGAGCCGTGCTCGTAGAACTGTGTGAAGAGCGTTGCTGCCCGCGCTGGGCTTGTGCGGACAGACACCCCTGCAGCTGCTGTGGGAAGGCAGCTGGGGTGCGGGAAACTGAGCTCGGAGGCAGAAGTGTGGGCTGCCTCAGCGTCTCGTGGCCGTGCCGCTGGTTCCCGCACCGGGTCCTCGCCTGTGGGAAACTTGCGGGGACGGCCACCGTGCCACGAGCGGGGAGGACTCCAGGACCGACCGAAGCCTTGAGTGGGAACAGCGACAGTTGTTTCACGTGCTGACGGGTCCCCGCCCAGGGTGGCACGGAGCCACTGTGCTCGCTCGGGCCCGAGTGCCCTGCTCCCCTGGCGGCGAGCACAGGGCTGGGCTTGGCTGGAACGCTGTGCTGGCTGCTCGCTCCCGGGACGTGCGGCCGCCGCTCTCTGCCCAGCGGCCTAGTGCACTTGTTCATGGCAGCCCAGGGCTCCTGAGAGCATGACTGCAAGAGGCGTAGGCTTGGAGCTGGCACTCCCACTGCACCCGGCAGATGGGACGAGTGAAGCCCCGTCCACGTTCCTGGGGAGACTTCACGCAGGAGGTAAATTCCTGGGGCGCACTGCTCCCTAGGAGCCACCGGAGTAGCACACAGGCCTCTGCCTGTCCCTCCCCTCACTTCCAGAGTGCGCCCTCCCCCAGGGAGCTGCCCCAGGCGGTGGCCCCAGACCTGGCTGCCGTGAAGGCCCCACCCTCCCTCCCACTCCAGCCGCCGGTGACAGGGAAGCCCAGAGATGGCCAAGTACTCTCCGTGCCGGACCTCACCGGCTGGTTAGCGGCCTGTACTGAGCCCGGTTCTGTCGCCGTCCTGCTGTCTGGCCATTCAGCTTGGCTGCCCACAGGAGGCCTTGGAGCATCTGGAGGGGTTTCTCCCCGGGGGCGCCTGTCGTTGCACTGGTCTGTCGCCCGTGGGGCTCAGCTGCCGAGGATGGCGGCCCCTCACGGCACTCCTGCCTGCGTCACAGGTGACGGGCTCTGGCCAGCCACGGCTGACAGGGACGGGCGGAACAGATGTGCCCCGGTCTCCCCATCCCCTCTCGCCCCCCGCCCCCTGCCCCTGCTGGTGCCTGCGCCGATTGGGGCCACCCGGGTCACTCACAGGTGGGAGTCCCCCTGTGGTCAGGCTTCATTCACAGAGAAGTTGAACTTGGATTGTGAAACCTCCGTCCAGCACGCAGACACACTGAAGTTTAGAAGCCCTTCCTCCGTCTTCGTGTCTTCCCCATGGGCTGCTTGGTGCCTGGGTGGGGTTCGGGTCCCCTCCGGCGGGCACACCCGCTGGAACGAAGACGGCTCCTAGCGCCCCTCCGGAGGTGGCGTGTTCGTCTCGGGTTGCACAGCCAGGGATTTAGCACCCCTTCCCCAGCATACGGCCCTGCAGCAGTGATGTTCCCAGAGGTGCTCGGCAGCCCAGGCCCAGTGCCATCTCTGTGACCTGCAGGAAGGGGGTAAATGGGGTCTTCGTGTGTCGGCTCCAGGCACGTTTCGGGGAGCCGGTCCATGTGCAGTGAATTCTACTCTGCTTTTCGTACCCTTTGGGGGTCGGCACGCACAATCCGAACTCGGCTTCCTGGTCAGAGACCTGCCCTCCTGCAGGAGTTAAAGTCCGCACCGACGTTACCTGTCACCTCAGGGCTCCTCCTGAGGCTCCCTTGTTCCCTTAGTGTCCTTTTCTAGGCGTGAAACCCCACTGAGTCTGCTGCACTTACCTGCCACTGTCCACATTTCTACAGGGCCCCCAACTTCCAGAACCCCGATCTGCCACCTCCCCCTCCCAGTCCACATTCCCACGGGGCCCAGCCCAGGGCCTGAGCTGCCCTCTGGGCCCTGACCGCTGCCCCTGCTTACTGCTCTGAGATGTCTGTGATTTGCTCGTTATTAGCCCTGAAGGAAGCCCCCTGACCCAGGACCCTCATACCGTTGGCCACTGTGGTGGGGGCGGCAGCTGGGGAGGCACGGCCCCCCAGTCTCCCCTCCTCTCCGGTTCCTCCTCTGCCGCCAGCACATGGCATCCACCCGGCCGGCCTCCTGCAGCAGTGATGTGACCCCGACAGAGTCCTCCAGCTGGCCTGAGCCCTTCAGACAGTGTGGCGGACCCCACAGCTGGTGTGTGCTACCCCAGACCTGACCCCAGAACACCAGCCCTTCACGGCCGCTCACAAGCTCCGGTGGTGGGGCTGATACGGTCCCCCTCCCCAACCCGTCCCAGTCCCGCTCGAGCGAGGAGAGAGGTCGGTGAGGCAGAGTGGCCACAGCTGTAGGAAATCGTGTTGCCCACAGCCCCTCGGGCCGCTTGGTCCCCCCAAGGGGACTGACGGCCAGGTCTGGCTTACGTGCTTCCTTCCTCTCGTCATCCCCGGTCCTGAGTGCAAGCTGGAAGCCGGCTCTAGCTGCTCGCTGTCTCCTGAGCCCTGGCAGGGGCTCTGCAGCGGCACCAGGTGCTCGCCCGCCTGGGAGTCTGTGCGCTGGCTCTGGGCTTCTCAGCAGCCCCAGGACTGCCTCATTCACAGCTGGGAGTCTGTGCGCTGGCTCTGGGCTTCTCAGCAGCCCCAGGACTGCCTCATTCACAGCCGGGGTCTGACTCGTCCCCGCCACCAGCCAAGAGGCGGCATCTCCTGGATCATCAGCCCTTGCTCCCCTTTCAGCTCGTGACAAAATCCCTCACCAGTCTTGCTGGGGCCTGTTACGTCCCAGTCAGGCCCAGGACTGGTGCTGGCCTAGCCCACCCAGTACGAGCGCTTGCTGTGTGTGTGCACATAGCGGGGGTGGGGGGACTGCCCTCTCACCACAGCTGCCGGAGGGGAAGCAGAGGACCTGCCCCAGACCCACCTACTAGAAGGCGGCTCCGTCGGTGTCCCTCCTGCCCGGCCCGGCTCTGGTGTGATGACCCCTCACGGCGGCTCTTCTGATGGTTTCCATCGTGTCAGCGATGCTCATGCCAGCCATGTGTTTTTGCCAAAGCCCGGTCATTAATAGTGACGGCAGGTTCTTCTGCATGGGCCATAGTGTTTCATGAGCCTCCTTTTTTTTTTTTTTTAAAGATTTTTTTATTTATTTATCTGAGAGAGAGAATGGGAGACAGAGAGCATGAGAGGGGGAGGATCAGAGGGAGAAGCAGACTCCCCGCTGAGCAGGGAGTCCGATGCGGGACTCGATCCCGGGACTCCAGGATCATGACCTGAGCCGAAGGCAGTCGCTTAACCAACTGAGCCACCCAGGCGCCCCTCACAAGCCTCCTTACGGCGCAGACAGCCGCAGCCCTGTAGCCTCCTGGGTCAGGATGGGGGCCGAGAACCCTGGCCAGCGTCTGAGCTGGTTCGCCATTCTGCACACAGGTGGAGTTGAGCGTGCTGCATCGTCCTGCTGGGGGCTTTGTGTTTACATACGAGGAGGAATGCTTGTGACTCATGCGGTGTTGTTTCTTTTCAACTCTTTAGTTTAAGAAATGTGAGCACCACTTTGTGGGGAACCTGTTTCTCGTCTCAAGTACTTACCTGCTCATAACCACAAGTTCTCCTCGTTCTGTGCTCTTTTCTCTGTCACCTTCGTCCATTGGGATAGTTGTCACCACAAGGAACCTCGCAGGGGAGCAGGAAGCGTTTCGTGGGGGTTGTGGGCAGCCATCACCGTGGGCTGTGTGGCCGCGGTGTCAGTCTGGGCGCAGAGCGGGGGACAGGCCGTGTGGGGTGGGGCAGCGCGCGGGGAGGCAGCGTGTGACCGCAGGCCCTCCATCTCCCTCCCAGACGCTGGACCTCTCCAACAACCAGCTCAGTGAGGTCCCAGCGGAGCTGGCCGACTGCCCCAAGCTCAAGGAGGTCAACTTCCGGGGGAACAGGCTGACGGACCGGCGGCTGGAGAAAATGGTGCATGGCTGCCAGACCAAGTCCATCCTGGAGTACCTGCGCAGCGGAGGCCGGGGCGGCGGGCGGGGCAAGGGCAAGGCGGACGGCCCGGAGAAGGAAGAGGCCCGCAGGAGACGGCGCGAGAGACGGAGGAGGGAGAGTGTCGAGGGGGAGGAGGAGGAGGTGGACAACGCCAGCAGACTGCTGCTCCGGGTCCTGCATGTGTCTGAGAACCCCGCCCCGCTGACCGTGCAGGTCAGCCCCATGGTCAAGGACGTCCGGCCGTTCATCGTGGGAGCCGTCGTGAGAGGCATGGACCTGCAGGCTGGGAACGCCCTCAGACGGTTCCTCACCTCCCAGGTGGGTGCACGCGGCCCAGGAAGGGCAGGGGCGGGCAGGCAGAGGGGCTGGTGGCCCGGTGTCGCTCTGTGTGTGCACAGAGCAGGTCGGACCTGGGCCTCGGTCCCGGGGGCTGCCTGTGGGAGTGGGCACCACCTGCTCATCCAGAGACCCTTCTAGTCCTGCCTTGTTTCTGAAGTCAGCTTTGTTGCAAGGGGAGATCGGTGTTTCCCGAGTTTCTGATGTCTCTGGGGATTTTCTGGTTTTTGTAGTTTACACAGTTTCCTACAAGATAGTATGAAAATCGTCAGCTGTTCTCACACTAGACGAACATCGTGATTTGTTTTTCTATGCAGTTATGCAGTCTGCCCAGCTTTTAAAGTAGAAGCCACTTTGATGTTTGCAGACCCCCCACCGCAGCCCCGTGGGGACGATGCAGCTTTCTGGAAGTCTGTGTCCTGTGCACTCCTAGCCAGGAGTTTAGAACTCAACCATCAGTGTTCTCAAAGAAAAACGTGCTGGGGATATTTTTCTTCTTAAGTCATATTTTTATTCAGTCAAATTTTAGTTCAGGGAGGGTTCTTTGAAGTCTCAGATTCTCTGTTACAGAAAGAAGAAATTCTGCCCCTGAACAGATTAAGAGTTTTCCAGTGACGGTTCCAAGGATGTGTTTTGGGTTGGGGAGGCCACGGGAGCAGGCAGAGGGGCAGGGCGCAGGGCGGGCAGAGGGGCAGGGTGCCCGGCAGAGGGGCAGGGTGCGGGACGGGCGGGCAGAGGGGTGGCGCGCTGGGCAGGCAAGGTGCAGGGCGGGCAGCGCGGGGTGCTTGGGCACTGAGCTCGGCGGGTCTCGCGTTGCAGACGAAGCTTCACGAGGACGTGTGTGAGAAGAGGACGGCAGCCACCATCGCGACCCACGACCTCCGGGCCGTGCGCGGGCCCCTGCTCTACACTGCCCGCCCGCCGCACGACCTCAAGGTGAGGGCACATGCCCCTCCCCGTTTGCACCTGTTTTGCGTTTCCATGAGGCGCGCACGCTCTCACGGCGTGCCTGCGCTCCCAGGCAGCATCTGACGCTGCCCCCGGCGAGCACCCCGGGTCACACACAGGCCGCATTTGCAGTTCGTTTGAAAGTACACTCATCAGAGGAGGGAGTGATTTCAAAGTGGTTTCCTTCATTTGCTCAGCTTTCACCAAACACGGGTTTATGTACTGACAGCAGAACCCCTCACTTGGGTTGACTCGTGTGAGCTGGGTTTGTCTGTTTCTCCCCGGGGCGTGGCGGGGTCCCCGCGGGCAGTCCGGGAGCCCAGCTGCGCGCCTGGCTTGACCGGCTCCTCCCCCCTCGGCCTTCCAGGGGCCACAGGCCTGGGAGTCGCCGTGGCATGTGGCGGGTTGAAGGTTAAGCCCAGCTTCGGGAGGGCTGGCGTGTGTGGCAGGTCCCTGAGGGGCCTCTGGGGGCCCCGCGTGCTCACGCCACCATCACAGGGAGAATGGCGGGTAGAGCCGAGAGGGGACGCTGTGCCGACGGCCACGTGAGCGGACGACCGGCAGCGTGTGGTGGCCGCGGCCGTAAGGAGAGCTTGTTCCATCTGAGCTCACCACCAGGTGTTCACCCCACAGATCGTGCCCTTGGGGCGCAAAGAAGTCAAGGCTAAGGACCTGGTGCGGCAGTTACAGCTGGAGGCCGAGGAGCACAGGAAGCAGAAGAAGAGGCAGAACGTGTCGGGCCTGCACAGGTGGGCGGGGAGCCTCCCCTCGGGGCGCTGCAGCCACCCCGCGGGGGCACGCCTCCGGCCTCCACTCCACTCAGAGGCTGCCATAACCTGAGGCTGTCCCTTACAGATGTTAAAATCTCCCAAACTTCGTTCCCTGTGCTTCAGAGACTCGCGTGGGGTGAAAGGAACCGTGTCAGACAGGCCTCTTCTCTCAGAGCGGGGGCTCAGACGGGCTTTCTTAAGCACGCAGGCCCTTCATCGGGAGGGACGGGGGTCCTGCCCACAGCACGAGTGCAGGGACGGGGGAGGGTAGTGCGGTCACCCGGACGACAGCAAAGCCATCAGCCTACAGCATTTTGTCCACATCACCAGCGGCTCGGGTGGGGTATGGGAGGCCTGCTGCGCTAGGCCCACGTGAGGACAGGCTTTAGCAGTCTTCCTCCCAAGCTCGTAGATGCCCCGATCTCACACTGATTAGTCTCAAGAGCTTGCATTTGTCCAGTGTGACCCGTAGGTGTGCGTTCCCACGGTTGCGCCACCTCCGTGTTTTTTCCCCGCAGGTATCTGCACTTACTGGACGGGAAGGAGAGTTACCCCTGCCTCGTGGATGCGGATGGCGACGTGATTTCTTTCCCACCGATAACCAACGGCGAGAAGACGAAGGTCGGGCAGGGCCTGTGCGTGTCCGTGTGTCTGGGGGTGCCCCCCGTGATGGCCCGTCCCCACGCCAGGCCGCCCGCAGGGGCCCCCGGTCTCCAGAGCCCATGTCCCCCTCGTGCGTGGTGCCGCACCAGGCATCACCATGTGCGTGTTCCCACCGTTTGGGAAGGGGCGGTCCCAGTTTGTGTGGCACCATGTTCTACAGGTTTTTCCTCAGAGCACTCGCTGATGTTTCTGGCAACTTTATTCTTCCCTGAAGCCCCTCTGATTTCTTTTTAAGATTAAGAAAACAACTTCTGATCTGTTTTTGGAAGTAACAAGTGCTACGAGTCTGCAGACCTGTAAAGAGATCATGGACGCCCTCGTGCTGGTGAGTCCGTGCTCTCGCCCAGTTGGCACTCTGGCCACAGGGACGGACAGCGCGCCCTCCATCTTCCTGCCTCCCCTCGCACGCACGGCTGCCCCGGTTGCCTCTAAAAGAATATTTTTCCTTTGCAGAAAATGGCAGAAATCAACAAGTACACACTAGAAAATAAAGAGGATGGATCACTTTCAGATCCTGAAGCCGACGCGGCCTCTGGACAGCCTCCGGGTCCCAGCGGGAGCCCAGGTGCCAAAAAGGCCGGGAGCGCCTCACTGGTGGTGGAGCAGGTCCGGGTGCTTGACGAGGACGGGCACCTGAAGGTGGTGTACCCTTCTAAGACAGACCTGGGCCTCGCCGCTCCCCACGTGACCGTGATCCGCTGAGCCCCGGCCGCCGGGTGCCCACCAGCTCCGCCACGCGGTCCTCAGCTGCGCCTGTTGTGCTGACGTTAAGTTATTCGTTACGTTCTCACCCCGTGGTTTTTAAGATCCACGCCTCTGTTCGGTTGTCTGGACGGTTCCATCCTGACATGGTGACGCCACATTACCACAGACTTGAATCGTTTTGCCTTTCCGGCACCAAACTATTCTACTAACGCTTTCTACGAAATTACTCAAATATCAGAATTAACTGTTGAAAACGTTCTGAAATCACACGAACACAGCAAATACCTTTATTCAGGGGAAAAAAGACTGAGAGGTTTGGATATTCAGCTCTGCGCCGGGAAGCTAGGTGACGTGCACCTCAGTGACTGCACCAGTTATTTCCCTACAACACAGCGGCTTTTAAACCCTCACCACGCTGGCGGCGCAGCCTCGATGTGGAGTGACGTCCTGTCCCTGGCTTGCCCCAGATCATCTCTTTACGAAAAAAATATTTTTTAGGTGACCTTAGTATTGGCAGAAGCATTTTTTTCTTCTTGTTGCGGCTGGATGCATTAGGGGAAGCGCGACAGAGTCCCCTCGTGCGGCCCCGGAGAGAGGACCAGACGTCAGAACGCGCAGCTCCGGGCTCGCGCGCAGTTCCCTGTTGCGGACCGGCCGGGACGTTCTGTCGTCAGCCAGCTAGAGGACAGACGAGGGGCGTGGCTGCGGAAGGTGAACTTTGAAGCCAGCAGCCACAGAGCGCGGCCGGGTGTGAACGGTTCTTCGGCATTTTGTGTTTTAGGTTATTTCCAGTTTTGAGTGTCTCGGGCCCTAGACCGTGAGTTCGCATTTGTTTCTGCGCGCAGGTACCCCTCCCTGGCCACGGGGTAGGTGGCGTTTACTGACCTCTCTGCTTCATGGTCTGGCGGGGTTACGAGACACTCAGCTGGCTTTTGGTATTTAGTGACCCCGTCGGTGTCACGTCCTGTGACCTGCGAGAGAGAGTTTGTGTGTTCTGCAGACTTGGGGAGCGTTTGCAAGAGGCTCAGTGAACCCATGCGTTTAGCCATCAGAACCAGACGTGGGGTGGGGGGAGCTCACGGAGGCACGTGGTTCTCCCAGAGCTCGGCCAGCCCGCTTTGTAGGACCCGGCCCGGCTCTCTGGGCACCTCCTGGGCTGAAGGAGGTGGGCCAGATGGTGGCTTTTCCTCGTTTCGTTAGCCCCAAACCTACCAAACGTCCGTGCTGGCGGCTTCGGCTTGTCATGAGCCCTGGGCACTCAGGGCGGCGACTGCTGTGGGTGGCCTGGCTGGGGTGGGTGTGTGGGCAGGTCCTGTCAGCTGTGACCTCAGTGCCGGCCCGTTGGCTTTCTGACGCAGCTCAGCGCCGCGTGAGGTGTGCAGATGTGTTTGACTTACCACTGGAAACCAGACATCCTTCCTCTTTGCCGGTCCAGGCCACTAATAAACGTCATTTAATAACATCTGTGTTCCTCCCCAGTGAATCCTTTCTTGGCAGTATTTCGGGGTAGTGACTTTGGGGAAACAGAGGACCTGAACCCCCCCTTCCCAGCCCAGATCTTGCCAGCAAAATGCAAGAAGGGCTTAATGATCACACAGGCTCTGCCCAGAGAGGCTGCTGGGCCCTCCAGGTCTGGAGCGGGAGGTGGACCCCCTCCCAGGGCACCTGCCCCCAGCAGGTCTCATTCCTGAGTCTCAGTGGGAGGGGAGACTGCCCGACAACTCAGCAGGGTGCTGTCACCCCTCCCTGGCCAGGGCCTGCGGGGCCACATCTGGTGGAGGCAGCTCACAAGGGGGTGGTATGTGGCCCAAGGGCCTCTGCCTGCAGTCTCCCCGCACAGAGGCCCGGCCGCTGGTGCAGCCCCCGGAAGGGGACACGCACGTCCACCAGGGAGTGGGCTGGCGCACCCTGCTCTTCATCCTGAGACTTGCTGGGCCTTGGGGCGCACAGAGCACGAAGATCAGATCCAGATGGCTTTTGTCATCTGTTGTTGCCCGTGGGGTTCCCCCCGACCCAGGGAGGTGTTTGTGAGGACCTGCGGGGATCGCTGGGCAGTGCTGGGCTGAGCTGCGGAGGCCCTGAGGACACCGCCCCCAGACTGGTTCCCCACAGTGCCCCTCATGCGTGGACCACACCTGCTTGCTGCCCCACCTGCTCTGTCCTCCCTCCTCAGCGTGCTGCAGCCTTGGCCCCCAGCCCCTCCCGTCTGACCGGTCCATCAGCAGACTGCATCCTGCCCAGGGGCTGCTCAGACAGTGGGACCCTGAAGCCCACAAGGCGTTTCGGAAGTCAGGGAGACCAGAATGGCCTCAGAGAGGAGGGGTGGGCGGCAGCCACCTCGGGCCCTTCTCTTTTCTGTCCAGCACCCTGGCCTGGCTCTTGGCAGAGGCTGCACCCAGTCTTGGAGAGACCCAGCCCCTGCACCTCAGGAGCAGACTGCCAACGTCCTAGAGCCCATGCAACCCAGCTGTGCCCCCCCCAGTGCCCCCCCGTGGTGGCTCCAGCAGGGGCACCAGGGTAAGGCTGGCCAGATGCGGGCCGGCGGCACGCCTCCCTCCTCAAGTGTGGCCGAACAGGGCCGGGAGCAGGGTCTTCTTGGGGACAGGTGCTGAGGCCCAGAGACCAGGGCTGGCTGGACCAGACCTCTGCCTCTTAACCAGCTTCCCTCGTCCCCCATCCCACAGCAGACCCCCATCACTGCTTGGAGACCCCAGCGCAGGCCCGGCCCACCAGCGCCACACCCTCCTTGCGGGCAGAGCCAGGGACCCCCTGGGTGGTGCAGCTGTCCCTAACAGGCAAGCCAGTCTCATGGGGTCTCTGCCCTTCCCTGCCAGCTTGGCTTCTGACATGCAGGTTTGCCATGTGCCCTCCGGTGTCGGGCTCCACGAGGACACTGACCGTCCCTCATCTCCCGCCCTCAGTCCTCTGGGAAGAAGCATCTGCTAAGGTGTTTCTGGCAAGGGTCTATGGGGCCTGAGACATGAGCCTGTAGTCAGTAGGTGGGGGTGAACACAGGGCCCCGGAGGGCACCTACTGGGAACAAGGCAGGGGGACAGGACTGAACCTCTGAGCCGAGGCCTTGTCCGCAGCCGGTCAGGTGAGGCAGGAACAGGCCCCGCCAGCGGCCAGTCCTCGGGCCTGCCCCCAGGGGCTCACGGCCCACGAGACAGCCCAGCCAGGCAAAGACACATTCCAAGGCCCAGAGCCAAGCGGGAGGGAGGACGGGCCCTTCCCACAAGCCTCCCACTGTTGTCCAAGTGCCCTCCAGCTGGCCTCACACCGGGCAGGTGGCCGGGCTCCTGCAAGAGGCCCTCACCCATCCTTCATCCAACACACTTTTCACTGGCTGCATTGGCACCCAGGCTCCCACAGGGCAGGGTGGGGGAAGCGCCTTCCCACCGGATCCGCTCCCTCGGGGGGGACGGCCAGTTCACTGCAGGGAAGACTGGGTGGTGGGTCCCAGACAAGGGCTGAGGCCCCACTCCCCACCCTCGGGGGTTGGCAGAGGGACACACACGGCCCCCTCAGAGCCATCCCTGCAAAGCAGGAGTCAGAGGGCCCAGAGAGGGCAGGGGCCTCCCGGGGGCCCCACAGCCCCACAAGGTCCCTTCAGGGAGGACCCCTCCCTGGGGCTGCCAGGCCTGGGCCCTCTGCAGGGGCTCTGGAGGCGTGTCCCGCAGTCTCCCGGCCATTAGTGTCTCGGGCTGGCCGCCTGCGCCAGGCACGTGCTCCTGTGTCCCTGTTCACCTGTGTGCCCACACGCTGGCCAGTGACCTCGGCACCCTGGGGTCCGTGTCGGGGGTGGGGGCGTGCGTCTGCGCAGAGAGAAAAGTCTTCTGTATACGAGGATCGTGTACATGGGGTTCAGTGTATACAAAGGGGGTTCTGGCGTACAGGGGTGTCCGCCCAAGCCCATGTCCCCACGCACGGGCGGCCAGCCCCGAGTGTGCGTGCTGGGCAGCCTTATTTGCACTTGTGTACGTAGTAACCAGTGAGATAGCCGAGGATGAAGACGGCCCAGAAGAGGGCCAGTCCGCCCAGTACCTTCATGGCGATGCCCAGCTTGCCCGAGCACAGCTTCCGGGAGATCCTAGGGAGAGAAGCGCCCCCACATGAGCCCGAGTGGACCGGGGGGCTAGGCTGGAAGGGAGCGGGTCCTGGGGCAGGTGGACCCCGAAGGAGGGTGGTCTGTATGCTCTGCTGACTCGGGAGACAGGAGGGAGCCCAGCGAGGTGGTGCAGGGCCCAGGGTGGCTGGGACTGCTGGGGCTGGGGTGGGGGGGCCTGCAGCATGGAAGCCGCCAGGAGGGGACGAGGAGGTGGAGGGCTCCTCCTGCGGGCCTACGGGCCCTCACCTCTCCCAGGTCCAGGCCTCCTCTGGGCTGGACCCAGCCACCACGTGGACTTCATCCCGGCTGCGGTCATCCCACCTGCTGTACTGGACGCCGCTCTCCTGGGGCTGCATGCTGCGGGGGCTACGGCAAGAGGGGCAGAAGTTGGGCTTAGGCGCTCACGGACGAGGAGACCGAGGCAGGCGTGCGGGGCCCTGACTCCCTGTCAAGCATGGTCCCGGTGACAGCAGTGGCTGGGGCTCCGTGTGGGGCTGCGCTTAAGGCCAGGGTCTGCCTGGGGGTAGGGGCGGGGGTGGGGGGACACGACGGCGGGCTGGTTCCTTCCCCCGAATCTTCTCACCTGGCTTACCAGCGGACCAGGACGCCAAGTGGCCCAGCCACTTGCCCAGGGTCACATGGGAGGAGGCCAAGCAGGAATTCCAACCCAGGGAGGCTGCAAACCCTTCCCTCAGGAATGTGAGAGGTTGTCTCCACCCAGCCCAGTCCCGGGGTGGGGGGGGGGGGGGAAGGAGCAGGCCTCTGGCAGAGCTGAGGCCACCCTGGAGGACAGCACAGGATACCGTGGGTCCTTGACCTGATAACTGCCTTCCTTCCCTCCCCATTCCTGACAGATAAGGCCCCAGAGCGACTCCGGAGGCTGGGAAGGCAGGGGATGGGGCGGCGGCTGGTCCGGCCTGTCTGGCAAGTCGGGGGAGGCCTGGAGCGCCAGAGCAGCGACCCAGCGTGTCCAGTGTCCTCTGGCCTGTCCAACTTGCAGCCCCTCGCCCCCGACACCGCCTGCGGGAGAAGCCGGAGCCTGGGGGCCACCTGGGCCTGCTGGGAGTCCAGGGGCTGGAAAGGCAGGGGCCTCTCTTCTAGGGACCCGCTCCCACAGAATCCTGGAGACAGGCTTAAAGGCACAGCGGGCCACTGAACGGCAAGAGGCCAACCCAGAAACTCCTGACGTGCCTCCCTGTCGTCCCTTTCCCCAACCCCAGCCCAGCGGGGAGGAAGGAAGGGAGCTTGTCTCCGAGCCCCAAGGCCTGCCTGTCAGGTGGGAGCACCTGCTTTGCCACAGCCACTCAGATCAGGGGCCGTTCTCAGGCCCAAGGGATGCCAAGTGTCTGCGGACTGTGGGCTGTGCCTTCCCAGGTGTGTCTGGGAAAGGGGCTCTGGACCGACTCTGCTAGCTGTCTACCTAACGTCCACCCCCTGTCCACCCCTGGAGCAGAGTCCCATTCTGTGCCAGGCAGCAATGTGCCACCCCAAATGACAGCCAGGGGCTAAGACAAGCTTAATACCCTGGCCCCTGGCCCCCCAGGCCAGCCGGATGAGGGCAAAGTGCTGGGGTGTAGCAGAGCTGGGGGGTTCTTGCTTTCACCAAGGGAATAGCAGCCACTTCTTTCTTCCTGCCCCGGCGTGATGGCCGAAGCTGCAGCAGCCACCTTGCAGCCCAGATACCCATGCAACACCAGCCCTTATCGTGTGGACTCTCCAAATCCACACCAATTACCCACCCTTGGGCTTCTTGGTGAGAAGAGTCAACCCCCACCTGTTCAAGCCTGGGTTCCTGCCGTGGGCAGCGGAAAGTATTCCTAACTGATGGAGACTAGCCTGGCTCTCAAGTCATCTCGGTGGAACAAAGCCACTAGAAGCTGGTGAGGTGCCTAGAGCTGGGATCCTGCGGGCCTCACTCTCCAACCCCCACCAGAGGGTCACGCCTTGTACCTGGAGACACCCGCCAAGCTGGGGACCCTCTGGGGATACCACCGCATACCTTAGACCCTTTCGCCCCCAAAGCACCTCCGAGGAGCCCACAACTTACAAAGGGAGAGTCCTGGCGTGGGGCCCGGACTCCGGCGCCCAGGAAGGTGGTCAGGTGGTCTCTGCCCGGCCAGTGGATCTCTCCCGCCTCCTCCCAGGCCGCAGGTCAAGGTCCGAGGTGCGGCTGATGCCTGCAACCTCAAAAAACAACAACAACAACAAAAAACCAGAAAATAAAGAAAAGGTGAAGAAGAGCGGCCCTTCGAGGAGCGGGAAGGGGAAGGGAACGCTGGGGTGTCCAGAGACAGCAGGAGCCAGGCGGACATTTCCCGCACGTGGCCACCCGGCCCGGGGTCGCTCGGCCGGATCAGCGCTCCCCCCGCCCCCACCCCGCAGCTCCGGGACTCCCGGGCGGCCGCTCGCAGGGCAGGGAGGCCGCGGCCAGGCCCACCTCCTCCGTCCGCCTGCACGAGGAAGCTGCCCCCCCGACGCGCGTCCCACCAGCGCCTCCGCCTCCTGCCCTCCGCGCCGCGCAGACGTGTCCCGGCCGGGAGGGGCGGGGCCTCGGGGGGGCGTGGCGACCTGGGGGCGGGGCAGGGGGCGAAGCCCGCACGGGGGCGCCGACCCCAGGCCCCAGGTGTTCCGGACGCGGCCGCCGGAGGGCGTGCGTGCTGCAGCGAAAAAGGCTGTAGGGGCCGCAGGGGAGAGAGGGGGCTGCCGGGGAGAGGAGGCAACATGGGAAAGGGGGCCGTAGGGGCACGGGGTCGGCAGAGGAGAGGGGGTCCCCTGGGCTAGGGTCTGCAGGGGAGAGGGGCTGCCCGGGCAACAGGGCCCTCACGGGTCCCAGGGGTGGGGGGGCGCGGGTCCACCCCCAGACCGTGCAGGTGCCGGACTCTGGAGCAGAAGCGGGCCCTGGAGCCTCAGGGCGCTCCTGAGTCTGATCCGACAGGCGAGGCGGCCCAGGCGGGGCGCCCCTGGGGAGCCTGCGCGGAGTTCCCAGCTCCGTTCCTCGGGTTCCCGCCCTGGGCCCGCGGCGAGCGCGAAGCAGGAAAGGCCGGCGGCGCGCACAGGTGGGTGGGGGTGGAGGACGAGAGCAGACGCCGCGGGCGGGTGCCTGCGTGCAGCGCGTTGCTGTGCCCAGAGCCTGCGGGGTGCGGGACGCAGACAGGGTGAACTGCGCAGATCAGGGTGCCTGGCCTCCTGGAGCTTCCACTCCCGCAGCAGTGATGGGAACAGGAGTAGAAGATCGCCTCCACTGTCTCCCAGACGGGTCGCAGCCGCAAAGCGGTGCCCCAGCTAGGGGCGCCCCCACCGCACAGGTTTGTGCCGCAGGTGTTGGGAAGGGGCGGATAGGCACCGGGTCTCGGGCCTCCTAAGCCTGGGCCTCAGGGGTGGGCCCTTGCTCAGTGTGGGGGTCTCCCCAGGAAGGAGCCAGGGGGGCAGATGGGGGCTGTGGTGGTCGCCCAAGCCCCCACGAGTCCCGGGAGACGGAAAAGCTGAGTTCATGGCCAATGGCAGAGTTTAATTCTAAAGCGAAAAGGCCGGGCCGCACAGGGCTGGCTCCCTGAGCTGGGTGCCGGCCTCCGCTGGGTGGGCTGGCGTCTGGGGGCCCGGGCTGGGTCTACTTGGAGGTTATCTTCTTGGACTTGTTCGGGGAGGACAAGGCCTCTGTCTGCTGCAGGGGAGGCACTCTGGCGCCTTTCTGTTTGAGCTGATTGTAGTAGTCGGCTCTCTCAGAGATGATCCTCTGCAACAGAAGCCCGGGCCTCGGTGGCGGGGACCCCGCCTCTCCTCCCCGAGCGGGGGCGGGGTGCGGGGGGCGCAGCAGTGGTGTGCGCTGACCTGACCGGCTCTCCAGCGGAGAAAGCTCTGGTCTGTGGCATCTGCTAACTTCCGTGCTGGAAACACTCCCCACCCCTGCTGATCCCGCCCCGGGATGAAGCTGCAGAACTCAGCCCGCCACGGGCTGGCGTCACCTCTACGCTTTAGCAGCGCTAACTGCACTTCTTATGTCCTCTGAGGATGTCGAGCGGCCCAGACCAAGAGACCTCAGAGGCCATCGAGTCTGTCCCTCAAGTCCCTTCTGTCCTGCGCACAGGGAGATGGCCAGACCCTCCCTCACCTCTGCTGCTTTGGCGCATCACTGTTTTGCGGGCAGCAGAGGAAAGGGCTTCTTTCCTGGCTACTGGCGGGTACTGATGACTCCTCCCATCCCTCTCTCCTTCCCTCTCCCCCACACCAAACAGCAGGAGCCAGGCTGCAGAGACCTCTCCCCAGGTCCTCTTGCAGGTGTCCCCCCTCCCCAGACTGTTGCCACCCTACAGGGGCACTGCTGACCAGGGCCCCACCCCATGACATAGGAGGAAGGAAATCAGGTCTCGGGGAAATGTGGGTGCTGGAAGGTCATAGGCACCTGCTGGGGCAAAGGGCCATGCCGTGGGAGGCTTGGGGCGTGGGGACAGAAGCGGCCCCTGGTGAGAGTCCATATGGCCCTGCACAGAGCACGTGGCAGTCAGGGCTCTTCTCCCAGAGCCCTCCCCCCACCATGCCCAGAAGGCAGCCAGGCTCTCTCCCGCGTGCAGAGGGAGGCTCTACTGCTCAGTGAACTCAAGAGCCAGCCCACAGCTTGTCAGCCAAGACCCACGGGCGTGGTGGCTTGCCCCTGCCAGCCCCAAAGCCTGCGCTATTTGTCCTGCACCACACTGCCCCGGGAGGCCTCTGCTTGGGGTCATCGGGACGACAGCCTGAACCAAGGCCAGGGAAGGGGGGCCATGCCGGGGTCCTGGCTGAGCAGACGAGGATTCCAGCTGAGGCCACGCTGAGGTGCCAAGAAGCATCCCCAAAGAGGCTGAACTGGACAGAACCTGGCGGTGGGGGGGGCTGCTCCTGCTGCTGGAGAATCTCCAGGACCCCAGCAGCTTGGTCCCCTCCCCACTGCACCCCGGAGCTGAACGCTGAGAGCAGCCTAGCCATGGGGAGATCTGGTCCCCTCTGCCTAAGCAGAGAGCAAGGCTGATCCCAGGGCACAGTGAGTGGTGACACAGCCAGGACGAGAATGGGGGTCCCCTCAGCCCCCCGCTGCAGATCAGTAAGTGTCACCCTAGAGACGCAGCCTCAGGGACCAGGAAGCAGCCCAGTGCTGGATATACCTGCAAAGCTTCCAGAATGTCATTGTCAGAGATCTCAGTGGCAAAGGACTTGACCCCGGAGGTGCTGAAGGTGGCCTGGATGATCTTGTTTCTCAGTCTCTCAAGCTGTGAGCAAAGGGAAGGAGGGGGCGAATTACACCCGCCCCTGAGTAAAGCCTTCCAGAAGGTAGATTTGTCCTCACTTTTCGAAGCTTTAGGAACTGGAAGTGTTTGGAGAGGCCAGCTGGTCTGCCTGTGAGCTAGAAGGTGCCAAATCAAAACCCAGACCCAGGGTGGCTGGGCATCCAGGCTTTAAGACTTTCTACTACTTTTTTTTTTTTTTTTAATTGAAAAAGTAAAACCTGCACATGGCTTAAAAAAGAAAAAACAGTACAAGGTCTCCAAAGCACCCTGCAGGCCATCCTCCCGTCCACAAGGGAGCTGGCACTCCCTGCCCCCAGGGGGGACTCTGGGATGCCCCCAGGAACACCCTGCAGGCTTATCAGCCCCTCACTGTTAGCACTGCAGGGAACACCTGGCCATCCCTCCTATTGTACTCCCAGCCCTTCCTCCTTTTCTCGGGATGGTGAGGCAGTGCTCGCTGTTTGCATTAACCAGCCATGAACAGGGTGGTAACCAGGAGTTAACTAGGACAGAGCTAAGGCTATCTAGTCTTGCTGCCATCAGCATCATTGTGCTGATATGCATTGTTCATCTTCTCCACTCTGAGCCCCAGAAGCACTCAGACGGGCCCCCCAAGTTATGGTGGCAGCTCAGCACCCGCTCCTCACCCTCAATGAGCAGAAGCCCTGATGATGCCGAAATGCCACGTGAGAGCCGGCCTCAAGAGAGTTTGCATTGCCTCAAAAGGGCTGCAGGACGGTCCACTTTGCCCCCGGGACAGCGTTGAAGTGACAGAGGGCATGTTAGGAGCCCCTGGACCTTGGGTGGGGAGGGGGCTTCCTTTCTTTCCAATGTGGATTGGTGCCAGCTCTGCGCCCCATACCCTACTGGGTGTAGGGGTTACCGAGGGAAGGGGGGCCTGCCCCCTGTACTGGAGGTGACTGCTGCTGGGCAAGGGGTGGCGGTCACCTGGAGTGTCCAGCCACAGTGCCCCATGCCCGGGCTGCTGCAGGCGTCACTCACGGGCCACAGCACCACTTCCTGAGGACCCCAGACCTGCCCCCACAAACTTTCTCAACACAGCATTCCAGGCGCTACCAAACTGAGGCGAGAACCAGACCAATGATGCACCATCCCCTGCTCACACTGTAGCTGGGAGGACTGCTGGATCCCAAACACAGTTTTAGGAGAGAGCCGGTGGCGGCCGTCATTGATGCTGCCGAGCCATCCAGCGGGAGGCTGGCTCCTCCGGGTGGGGAGAACACACCCCGTTACAGCAGGCACTCCGGCGGGGGGGCGGGGGAAGGTGTTCTTTCAAAAGCCGACGTGCACAGGACTTTCTCTCTGCTGGTTTTTGGATTCTGGTCGGCTCTTCGCTGATTTCCTTTTTGGCCTGGGTCCCTCAGCAGAGGGCACCTCGGCCTCCCTCTGTGCCTTTGCTCACGTGTAGCATGGGGGCTCAGATATGGGGTCGGGCTCTTCACATCCCAGCACCACCCCCACGCAGCTCTGGGGGCGCCAGAGGGTTATTTCGCCCCTCCGGCTGCAGGCTCCTTATGTGAGCAGTGAGGACGCTAAGAACACCTGCTTCCTAGCTTTGTTCACGAGGTTAGACTTCAGTGAGCTGCTTAGAACGGTGCCCGACCCCTGCACGCACCCCGAAAACTATAAATAGATGGTACCCCTGGCCCCGGAGCGCTCCTTCCTGGCCGGCTATCCAAACCCTCGCGCGCCTTCACAGCACAAGCCACACACGGCCCGCCCCGCCCAGTGTGCAAGCCCCATTTCACCGACGCTCTCCGCCACCATTTCTGGACCGCCGACTCTGTGCCGGGGCGGGGCTACGCGGGGGAGTGAGCCTAAGCCCCCGCCCCCCTCGGCGCACGGCCCGCCCCCTCGGCGGTGGGCGGGCGCGGGCGCTCCGCACGCGGGGCCTACCCGGGACTGGGCGCTCTCCAGGGCCACGCGGGCCTGCTGCTCCGCCTGCTGGATCATTTCGTTCTTGCTCAGCATCTCCTCCTGCAGCCACTTCCGTCTCTGCAGGTGGTTCTGGTTCTGGCTCACTTGGGCCTGCAGCCGGCCGACCGTGACGTTGAACTCTGAGATGATGCGCTCCTGCTTTTCGAGTTTGCTCTGCAGCTCCAACACTTGCTGCAGGGGAGCCAGGGAGGACAGAGGAGTAGGCCCACCCGG